GGTGTTCGAGGGCCTGGCCCTGGGGCTGCAGGAGGAGGGCGAGCGCGTGCTCAGCCTGTTTGTGGGCGTGGCCATCCACGAGACGCTGGTGGCTGTGGCCCTGGGCATCAGCATGGCCCGCAGCGCGGTGCCCCTGAGGGACGCGGTCAAGCTGGCGGTGACCGTGAGCGCCATGATCCCCGTGGGCATCGGCCTGGGCCTGGGCATCGAGAGCGCCCGGAGCGTAGCCAGCAGCGTGGCGTCGGCACTGCTGCAGGGCCTGGCGGGTGGCACCTTCCTGTTCGTCACCTTCCTGGAGATCCTGGCCAAGGAGCTGGAGGAGAGGAGCGAGCAGCTGCTCAAGGTGCTGTTCCTGGTGCTGGGCTATGCCGTCCTGGCTGGCATGGTGTTCCTCAAGTGGTGAGGGCCGCTCGCTTGCTGTCATCGCCCCGTTGCCCACCCGAGCCGTGGGTCTCCGCAGGACACAGGCCCCGTGCCTCGCCAGCCACGCTCCAGGACCACAGGACGTGCACCGGGCCTCAGGCCCTCCACCTGCTCCTGACACCACTGATACTGCTTTTAAGAAAATGGCTTAAAGTTCTTTACCAAAGCTGTGTGGCCATGTGACCTCATATCCCGTCACCCCTCCTGTCCCTGCTGAGCCACCAAGGGTGAGGTGTAAGGGTGGGTTTTGTGGGGGATGGTCTGTGGGGAGCTGCTGCACTCCTCCACGTTCTTTGTGTAGCCAAGACCCTGCCCACTATTTGCCCCCTCAAGTTTTAACTGTTGCTCCAGCATGTCCTGACAGTTTGTGAAAGGAGCAGTACACTTGGGTCAGATGAACAAGGGGCTGTCCCTCCCAGGGGACAGACCAGGTGTGTTCCCGGGCCTCAGAAACCCCCTCTTGTTCCCTTGCTCTGTAGCGGTTATGGGGCCGAGACTCCAGGGCCAAGCGTTGTGGTCTCCTAAGAGGGAGAGAAGTGGGCAGTGGCTTGGTGGTCGTTTCTGAGTTGTGTATTCACCACTGGGGTCTCCAGAGGACACAAGGTGAGGACCACATCCTGACAGGGGAGATTCCCAAGATATACGCAGGAGCTCAACTCCTAGCAACCTTGGTGCCTGCCGCCATGGCAATGCTGGCATCTTGGGACAGCCTGAGTGAGGACTCCTGCTCTGGGGATATACAGCTGGCACAGCTCACCCCCTTCCTTGACCTTGGCTGTGTCTACCAGGAGTCATCTCAGCATCGTCCCTGTGTTGGCTAGATGCCAGACTCATACCTAGTGCCCCTGTCACCATGACCAGGTTGACCAAAGTGACCCACCCAAGGTGGTCCCCTACCCAGCTCCTTCTCAGAAAATACAAGGTACAAAGAGACAGGACCTTGGGGACAGCCAGGTATTGGGCAGTGTCCCCAGAACCCCAACACCAGGGCCATCTCAGTGCTACATAAGCAGGGCTTACACGGTACTTAGGGACATAGGGGTGTGTGGGTCGCGGTGGCTCCAGTGAGGGGCTGAGCTACCTGCCTCTGCTTGGAGCCTCCCCTTTCTGAGGGGATCTTTCCAGAGTCCCCTCACGGATCCTAACTCTGTCCCTGCAGGTGTGGTGGCGTGCCCATGGCGCCACCTGGGCTCCTCTACTCCTCTCCTACCCTCCCCTTAACACGCATAGGACATCTACAAGTTCTACAGCTTCCCTCAAGCCCAGGTGGGTCCCATGGAGCCACCGTGTCCCTGCAGGTGTGGGCTCAGGTGACAAGAGTAGGCCATGGTAGGGAGGGGCTGGGTCCCTGTCTGGTCGTCCCAGCAGGAAGTCTGCACCTCCTCCAAGACTGCACAAAGTGGCCCCCTCTCCTTCCTGCTGCCCTGCCCCAAGCCTATGTGCCTGTCACTACGGACCTGGTCCCCGACACCATCAGTCCTCTAAGTCTCTGAGAGTCATCCCAAGCGCCAGCTCACTAGCAATGGTGGGGCCTTTTGCCTCCCCACAGATCTTCAGGTCCAGGTGGCACCTTCCTGGGGGGAGGGTTGACTCTGCACAGTGGTTTAGAGACCGAGGACCCGGGAGACACCTGCCAGCACTCCTCAAGCCGGCCTGGCTCACCACCCTTGAAACTTAACGTGGGCCTGGCCAGATGTGTAGTGGCCCCAGGACCCTGCCTGGCCCTGCCACCAGAGGCCTTCAGACTCCTTGCTGTGTTCTAGGACCAAGGCAGGTCATGGTCAGAAGCTGATGTCAGTGGCTTCTCCCTCCCATGACAAGATAGCACTCACATCCCAGACTGGGGTGCGAAGAAGCAGCATGGGCACCATGCCTGGCAACATAGGACAGTGGCACCAAGTCTTCTCCCAGACCCCTGGCTGGTGTGGGTCCCTCTGACCATTCAGATATGACAGGAGAGGTGGCACTGACCATAGCCAGCTGCTGGCCACAGTAGCCACGAAGGGCCTTATCTGGGAATAGTGAGCTGTGTGTCCCTTACTTGAGGGTTCCAGTTTAGGTGACAGTCCCTGCTCCCAGCCCCCCCCCCCCCCCCCCCCCGCCATGCTGAGTGCATGTGCCCCTGCATGAGTGGGCATGGAGTCGGATGAGGCCAGGGGCGCTACAGGGCCCAGTCCACCCCCACAAGCTGCCTCCTGCGGGGACACACGGCAGGAGGGGAGGAGAGAGGGCGGGGTGGGTGGCCCAGCTTCACTGCTGATCTGTAACAACATGTCAGCCTTTCTCAGAGCTTGTTTGTGTTCCTGTAACAGAAGTTATTAGTGCGGGCGGGCGGGCGGCATAGGGCACAGCCAGCTCCTGGTGCCCTTCCTCAGGGGCCGCTGTGGAGGGGCCAGGATGGTGTTTGCCCTACATCCCACCCGCCCAAGGGAGCCCCTCAGCCTGGGGACATCCCTGGTCTCCTGGGTGTCTCTGGACTCCACCTGCTCTGAGCCAGGAGCTCCCTGATTTGGAACAGATACATGTGTACTAGATTTTCCCCCAGGGGAGGGGTAACATCTGTGAGTCATCGACCCCCCCCCCTTGAACTAAGGAAGCTGTCACTTGGCTGAGAGAAACGACATGAGCACATCAGTACCATCAGGCAGTGTCCCCACTGAAGGGAAAGCCAGGGGACAAGGCTAGTGAGGGCAAAGGGACTTGCCGTCTTTGATTATAGGACTCCTGCAAATTGTCCCGATCTCCCACAAGTGCTCACTGGCACATGCCTGGGCACCAGTGTGCCCTCATCACACCCTATAATGAAGTAGGCCTTTTTGGTTTGGGGTTTTTGTTTTGAGAAAAGGTTTCCCTGTTTAGCCCTGGCCATTCTGGAACTCATTTTGTAGACCAGGCTGGCCTCAACATCACAGACATCCACCTGCCTCTGCTTCACCAAGTGGTGGGATTAAAGGCGTGCGCCAGCACCCCCCCCCCCAGTGTAATAAAATAGTTTTTAAGTTGGACATGATATCCAAAGTAGGCGTAGCTACAGTTTCCCCTACAGAGGCTGGTGGATCTTTGTGAGTTCCAGGCCAGCCTGGGCTACAAAGTAAGCACTGTCTCAAAATAAATAAAGATTTAAACTATTTTTATTTATTTTATTTTTGTGGATGGATGTCTGTGTATCACATGTGTTCCTAGTTCCCAAGGAAACCAGGAGACAGCATTGTCTTTGGTCTACACAGAGTCCAGGCTGCTCAGGACTGCATGGTGAAATGTCTCAAACAAACAACAACAAAATAATGAGCTCCAACATGCTAGCCATGTATTTGGGGTTTTCTTTGTGTGACTGGTTTGTGTGTGTGTTGTGTATGCTCAGTGCCTGCAGCATCGGATTTCCCTGGAGCTGGAGTCATGGATGATTGTGAGTTGCCATGTGGGTGCTGAGAGCCAAACCCAGGTCCTCTGAGAAAGCAGCGGGTGCTCTAATCACTGAGAAACCCCCTTCCTTACCTTGGTTTTTGAGGCCGTGTCAGCAGGGCAGAGACTGAAGAAGCAGGGCCAGATTTATCTAGACCATCCAGTCAGCACACCACACGGATCCTCCTGTTTCAACCTCCCTGGTGTTGCCATAGAAGGATCCAGCTTCCCTGCTAGCTTTGGTATGGGCTCAGGTCATGTGTTTGTAAACCCTTGCTTCATGGGCTGAGCCATTTCCCTGGGCCCCTTCTGCACTCTTCTGCTGCTGGGGAAAGAGCAGGGCTTTCCAAAGAGGTGATGGGTGTGTAGTGGCAGGCAGACTAGAACTCCAGAATGCAGTTTGGGCTAGCCAGATTCTGGGGCTCCTGAGCTCTGGCACCCACACATCTGCTCTGCACAGATCAGCAAGGTGGAGCCAGCCACACAGAGGCGCTACTTCGAAAGGGAGGCAGGAACTGAAGCTGTCTCCAGTGGCTCCTGATGCCCAGAGCCTGGCCTGGCATCTATAAATAGCATCATTATGTGGACAGACTCCTCCATCTGAGTCAGCCTGGGCTGGTGCCTGAAGGATCGAGGGAGCTGGCCAGAGCTGGGTTTAGAGCACACTGGTCAGTATCTCAGGGAACCCAGGCAACTGTCACACACACAGACAGAGGAACCTTGGCTGCTAGCACCTGCCCCACCCCGCCCGGATGCTCAGCACCTGAGAAAGGCCACTCCATGGTTTTGTTCCTAGCTACTCTGAGGGGTGATGGCAAAACTGGCTGGGGTGCTTCTGTGGGTAGGGGTCATCCAGAACAGAGTTCTCACTTCCCACTAGGCTGTCTCCCTCTCTGGAGCCAGGGTAGGGAGAACTGAGGGACACCCTCATAGTCAGGGTAGGAAGGAGGTGAATTCTTCAGCTCCAAAGCAGCCCAGGATGGTTGGGGCTCAATAGGAAAAGGAGACCTGGGCCATGGAGATCCTTGAACACCAAGCCAGGACACTGGCTGTGACCCAGGAAGAAGGAGCCATGTTAGAATTGAAGGAGAAGGTGAGCCCAGGCAGGGTGGGGGTGGGGGCAAGACAGCAGAGGATAGCCTTAAACTGAGCTAAGTGACACTGTGGCACACAACTTTAATCCCAGTGACAGGAGGCAGAGACAGGCAGATCTCTATGAGCTCCCAGTCAGCCTGATCTACAGAGCGAGACCCTGTCACAAACAACAAAAACATTTTTTTTTTCGAGACAGGGTTTCTCTGTATTGTTTTGGAGGCTGTCCTGGAACTACCTCTTGTAGACCAGGCTGGTCTCGAACTCACAAAGATCCGCCTGCCTCTGCCTCCCGAGTGCTGGGATTAAAGGCGTGCGCCACCAAGGCCCAGCCAACAAAAACATTTTTGTTGTTTTAAAAGCAAGCTTGATTTTTATTGAGGTGCACTAGAGAGCTGTCCAGTGACTGTCTCCTAAGCCAGGTTAGAGAGAGCAGACCCAAATTTATTTCTTAAGCCCCCCATTTTTTTCAAGATTTATTTATTTATTTTATGTGCATTGGTGTTTTGCCTGCTTGTATATCTGTGTGAGGGTGTCAGATCCCCTGGAACTGTAGTTACAGATGGTTGTGAGCCACCATGTGGTGCAGGGAATTGAACTCAGGATCTCTGGAAGAACAGCCAGTGCTCTTAACCAATGAGCTTTTTTTTTTTTTTTTTTTTTTTTTTGTTT